CTCGGCACCGCGCTGACCTGTGCAGTTCTAGTACCTTCTTTGCTGCCATTCTGTACTCCATTAGGGCTAGGGGAAGTTCCAGCACTGTGTCTCTTGACATACCCAAAGCTCTGAGGCACACCCCTGACCTTGTTACTACTACTGCCTGTCGAGGTACCGGACGAAACTTTTTGAGGTTTTTCACCGTTCGCGTATTCCGCCATTGTCTGCTTCCTGTGTTTCTCCTACAGAAAATCCAAGGAATTGACATGCGACCGTTAATGAAAATTGCAGAAAACCTCCAACGTGGCGAACCGAGTTCTTGTTCAAGATTAAAATCGATAATGTATGGATGCATTGGTTTACCTGAGATCGTCGAGAGGGACTAGGACTGGATGGTGTTGTTTCCTTGTCTCGTTCCCTTGCGGCTCCAGCCTCGATATATTTCTTCCATTGTTGGCTGTTGCTGCTATTCGAGGAGGTGCAGTTGTTGCTGGGCTGTTGCTGCTTGAACGCTGTGCTCTCTGTCTGCTGAGAACTGTCTGATTTTTTCACGTGGGGATGGTGTCCAGGGTGCCTCGAGCTGACGACACGGTAAACTAGGTTGTTTGCCTGTGTACCTTGGGGGGTGGCCGATCCACTGTTCACGCCACCCCCCACCACCACACTCCCACCACCTGGCACCCTCTGCAAAATTATTTTTCATTTACTTATAACATTCCTCATCCTCATCGTTTATCCACATTCCTCATTTATCATTCTTCAATTTCATCCTAACAAATTGCGTTCCTACGTGCTATAGAAAAGACCTTCGTCGGTAAAAGGGGCGGGAGTAAACATTATAAGTTGTTTTTCATAGTTTCTCGTGTAATTAAAGAAAAAAAATAATGGGCATACCACCTCTTACAAAGTCAGTAACATCGGCACATCTAAGACAGCGAAATTGTTGTTTATCCATAAAATTTAGAGATAACCACAGAAAACTGAATATTCTTTTTTATCGAATTGGTTCTATTGGTTGAAAAATATATAAAACACTGTGTTAATATATTCAGCCCCTTGAACTCTCGAAAATAACTACCTATTATCAAATACTTGACTGAACGATTAGTTTCCCGCAGACATTCCTCTCCCAGTTATTAATAACTCTTTTCCTGCATAACACGATGTTTTCATACTGTGAGAAAGTTGATAGTTAAAAATAGCCCTAAACCACTGTATCCAGCAGTAATTTAACAAATTAGCTGTTGATTATTTAATTGCTATTTCTCTAATTGAATCAAACGATCCCAAGTTGTGGTACACCTAGGAGAAGTCGACCTGGGTCAAGGACTCGTTCCACGGGATGACTATCGATTGTCGAGCACGAGGGCACACCAGTCCCCCCACGTCATGATTCAGATGGGAAAAGCACATAAGGGTGCGTATACCAGATCGAGGGTTGGGTGTGCCGACTTTTTCTCCTGCGCAGTGACTCACTGGGGTCGAAATCCGAGGCCATTCGGACAACCACGAGAAAAAAAAAACATTTACAAACACTCGAATTTCTTAGGGGCGAAATTTAAAAAGAGAGTAACAAAGAAAACGTCTCCAGCTTCATTGCGAAACAACGAAAAGAAAAAACAAATTCTTCATTTGGTTTTTTTGGGACTCCAAAAGAGGGCATGGGCAAGAGAGAAACAATAAACTTGTCTCGGGTGGGCTCCCCAGTGTGGGCCCAGATTAGCCGTTAAAATAAGCTCATTTCACAGTCTAAACCATGTTTTTCTTGGTTGATTTTTTATCATGACTTTGAATGTAGTATTTTGGGGCGGGTTTCACCGGAGAGATCCCTTTTTAGTCTTAGTAGGTTTTAGTCTTGAAAAAAAGTGATTTTTCATTTAAGGACATCGAAATCGACATAAGGAATCGAGTAATCAAGTTATTAACACGTAAATTACCAAATTTGCTATCTGAATTTTCCTTTGACTGAAATCCATTATTTACGGTCGAAATGAGTTTTCGGCAATGATTTGGAATTTATAGAAATGACAAAGATTATTGCCCGGAAAATTTTGCGGTGACATTTCAATCTTCAGGAAAAAGTTTCAATAGGAAAAATATTTGGCTTTGAGCATTTGTTAAATTTTCGTCCACCAACTGCCGACTAAAAAGGGTTTTCATAGCAGTTATGAAAAAGTTCATGGAAAAGCCCAATAAGTGTATATTCCCCCTTGTTATTTCTCCCATTATTTCATTTCTCTTGCCATCGGCATTGTTGAAACCGGATTTTTTATCATTCAGAGGATTGGAATTGTCGTTTCAATGCTATCCATACACGTGCTGTACTAGAGAAGAAGTATATCGATTGCATGAGGGCGCGTAATCGGGAAATTGGAGGGAGTACACCCGGAGTTAAGCGGAAGTCGAGGGCAACGACCCTTTCTACCCTGAGTTTTCCCAGTGCTCGTTCGGGAAATTCATATTTTCTCCGCAAAAAAAAAATCTAGAAGGAGGTAAAACCGCGGAGAGTGCTTTGTCTATTTTAGTTGCCCCAGTGAAAAAAGACGAGGAGCACTTGAGAATAATTAAGAAAATGAGGCGATGTGAAAAGGCACGGTTCAAGTGTGTTGTTAAATATTTAGGTCGACTTTTCCGCGAACTCAACGCGCGCGTGTCACGTACTGTCTCTCACAGTTTTCCCTTTTTTTTCGTCATTTCGCCAGGGAGAATTAGAGGGTGAGACAACGAATATTCTACCCCTCGCCACTGAACACACACTTTTCAGGACACGCAGAGGGGTTGCCATATTATACTTTACCCCACCAACGTTAACCAACGACTACTGCAATAGACTCAATAGACTCAATTCACAACTCACCGGTTGTCCACCCTCACTTTTCCCAGTAACCGGTATTAAATTCGGGAGAACATATTTTTTTCTAAATTACATATCCATTGAGAAAACAAAATTACTTTTGCCGAGTTAATTTAATAGTAGTAAATAAATCTACAAATCTATACTAACAAAAGTCCTTCAGCTTTCAGTATTTCTACCGACTATTCAACGAGGAAAATAATTCAAATAACAATTAATGGATGAGAACTCGGATGGAATCTGATTCCACAGCTAGGGATTACCGGACTGATGCAATGGAAAATATTTGAGGGCTGAAATATTTGAGGGGAAGCAAATAAATTGAATCATTGAATTTCCGTGTAAACATTCGGTATTTCCGGGTGACCCTTTGACTCGTAATGAAATGTGGAAACGGAGAAATTCGAAATATTACATTCTCCGGATGGACAAAGAAGCGGAGGGATTATCCAGAGTGGATTATTCCATCCCTCGCGTCCGGTTGAATGCAACCCCTCAGGGTTAAGTCGAGAGGTGTGTAAAGAACGGAAAGCGAAGGTTTCCTATAATGTTACTGTCTTCATGCGGTTCTATACGAGTTAAGGTGTGTCTCAGACATGTAAAAAAACGCTCATAAAGTCAGGAAAAAATAAAAACAATTGCAGTAATTGTTTGGAAAATATCTTAGAATTCGATTAAGGGTAAAAAAAGAAGAGAAAAAAAATTGTAATTCCCTATTATTTGCGTTCGAACAAGCCAACTGTCCATGAGCTTTCAATTTACTAAGATAGTTTAGTAAAAATTTGATTCATTGAAAAATTGTAGTAATATATTAATCCTGAAAATTTTGTATTCATCCTCCGACTGGATGTTATTTCCTTCCGATTTAATTTTTCCACTGTCATAAATCTTCTTTATAGTTCCATAACAGATTTTATCCGGCAAGATGAATGCAGTCTATAAAATTGAAAAATTCACAAAGCAACGAATACATGCGGGATTTTGAAGGATGACGATAAAATATTGGAATTGATGAATTACTCTTCCTGCACGTCGAACTCCCTTATCCCTACCTACACAGAATAGCTTCTTTTTCCTATACAACGGAATAGGAATGCGAAATACTTATTATTTATCCATGCATCTATCGATTTTAGACTCCACGACCTGACGTGACCCGAGTGCATAACTCATTTATACTCGGCAGGTTCTTTCTTCCAATCTTCAACGTCATTTTCACCTATACGACATTAGACTACAGTAACGTAACGTGTGGTGGAACTGTGCGAACTTTTGGAATCGTTAGGGGCATTTGAGAATAACACAAAGCCTGAAGCCCCTCGAGGTATAAAGCTATCGCGTGCAACGGAAGAATCGTTTTGTTGCCGATGAAACTCCAATGATATGATAATTGCCATAAAAAATTATCGATTTTTCGCCTATCTCAGGAACGCTTTTCTCAACTGGGAGTACATTGCAATAATAATTTAACGCTCGCTACACGAATAATATCGAATGAATTCAAATAAAAAACCGTGAATTTATGAATCTTCTCTTCAATATACAAAATTCTATAATGCTGATCCGGAAAAAAGTAGTTTATTCGCAATTGAAGAATATTCTTGCCGTGTTGCACGTACGTGCGAGGTAATATCGTACATTACTCCCCGGTAAATAGCCCTCGAATGTTGGAAGCAAAGGAGGGAAGAAAAATAAGCGGAATTGATGGCAGACGGGATGAGTGATTCAAAAGAGGAACTCTTGTTAATGAAACCCGCAGGCTTCACAAGTGTCTCGTTCCTCCGCTCTGCATCCTATTGCAGAATAAAACTTGGCTATATTACTAATGAGCTCTTGACTGTTGACATCTCTTCTTGACGTTAACTCTATTTTAAAAGTTTAATCGCTGATAGTTAAGGGAGGGCCGCTGACGGTGTGGTGAAATGCTAATTCAATATGGAAATTCTCAAATTGGGCATGAGTAATTGGACTATCGAAGAATGAAAATGATAAATAAGAACACAGAGAAGTTTCCCAAGACTTTTTGAAGAAAAATTTGATTTTTCTAATTTTTTGTAATTTTTGTCTTAATCCGTAATTAATTCGACGAAAAATTACCAGCACGTTAATTTTTTTAATCACCCCCGTAATCCATAATCCGCGAACTCCCGAGGGAAGTTTCGTAATTTTTTATTCCGAATATTTCTACCCGTTTCAATGAAAAAATCTGCTATTAGACCCAAGAACGGAGGTGAAGATGCGCGGAAAAGTGCCGGTAGAAAACCTTCAAAACGACGACAAAGAAAATCTCGCCATTGATGTATTGACTGGGCTTTATTTAATATTACGTCACGCGCGTGCACTTCGACATGGATATTTACATTGTATATGCAAGAGTCTCTCGGTGCGATATCCTGCATCGAAGGCAGCTGCACGATGCAACAGCTGACACGGGGTTTACACTGAGGATTCAAGGAACGATGAGAGAAAAAAATAAAGAGGGCTGTAGTGCGCCTACAGACGGGGCTTTTCATTGTTTCTTTTTTTTCAGTGAGAAGAACCGAGGAATAATCGCTTGCATTATAGAGTCTGGAGTCTGGATTATTAAAAAAACGACGCGACTGCTGGGAGAAAGAAAAGTTGATTGGATCGATGAATGGGACAGTGAAATACTGGTGTGGGAGTTATTAAATTTTCTTGTTATATTTCACTATTGATGGGAGACTCTAAACCATGAGGATTTAGAGTAATTGACGGGCTGATGAACAATTTCGCAATGAATTCAGGGATATTCTCTTCACGTTTTGCTTCTCTAATCAATAACTTATGGAATTTCCAGCAACAAATGGAGGTACATTTTTTTTGTACTTGTCCCTATTATCTTAATCTTCTGCGTCAATTCTCAAGAGTAATTTTCTAATAGCGCAACCACAGCCTTTATTCAACGCCTTTCAACTCTCACGTTTCATTTTTTCACGTACAAGCTAGGTGATGCTTCCAATAAAATGTTATCTTTCTCCTGTAAGGCTTCGCTGTCTCAAAGAAACCGTAAAACTTGAGCGATAAAAGGTGTGAATCGTATTGTGGATTGTATGAAGTACTTCTACAAAGTGAAGGCAGTTCAAATCTGACCAGACGGAAAAAGGTTCTCTTATGATCATTGTGATAGTTCAATGTTCATAAAAATCACCCTTTGGGAGTTACTTGATCATTCTAAATTCATTATTGGTACCGAATGCATAATTTGATTTTCTTCTAAATTTACTTAGCAGTAATGCTACGTTATTGATCGTATGCAAAATAAATCCCTCCGCTGTTATCCTCAATTGGTGAGGTGAAGAGACGAACGAAAAATACAGAACGAGGGAAAAACGTTGGGGAAACATATTAGCTAATAAAATGTAGTAAATTGACTAACCTTATGATGGGAAGGATGACCTGAATGATGAGTTGAGTGATTGCCAGTGGGTATGGCTGCCAGGTCCTCAATAGTAAGTTCAGCCAGTGCGTCACTGCCACCACTGCAACTGCCTAAGAGTCCACTGGCCTGATTTCCATCCCTGGTCAAACTAGACGATAGATGTCTATTCTTCTGTGATCGTCTTGTGTTTACCAGCTCCTTCACCCCCGTTAATTCTCGTCTGGATCCGCCTACGTACCTGTTAACCAACCAGACAAGAAACTCATAATATCACACACGTTATTACCCCGAGCGTCAATGGGTCGTCCCCTAATTCACAGCCCACCTAGTTAAAATTCAAGGACATTGTCGTGGTGATTTAATTGAATCCCGAGTGAACTTGAGGGTGAAACGCTCAGGATGCAATTAATTCGGAAAATGTGACAAATAAAATGGGCTTTATATCCCCCGGATGAAATAAAGGTGTGGATTTTGACACAACAGATAGAGAACAAACCAAGTGTTGTCTCTCTGTGTATACATCGTGCCCAGAGGCGGTTTTAGGTAATACCAATTTTCGACGCGACGGGCTTTGTGTCATGCCTCGGACCGGCTGGTGGTAATTTCAAAAGAGGGTGACTCGCCCTGGGGCCAACACATCACCAGGCCAGCCCCGAAGGGAGGCATTCCAGGATTTTCAAATTGTCGGCAATTGGGGAGAATTTTAATTCTCCGCTCGATACTACGGCTCGATACTATCGTATCACCGGTTTCCTTCTCCCTTCGCCTCCCATATCCCTATCCACTGGAGTTCTACCCAAATTTTCGTACAACATCAACAACATTAACTCTAATTAATCACCAGCCGATGTGAATAACATTAACTCAGTAGCAAAATTGTCAACCGCTCAAGTCATTTCTACTGGAGCGAATGTCTGAGATTCCGTAGCTTGCATAACCCACGAATAATGGATTATCTAATAATCCTAAACCATCTACCCCCCCTTTTACCTGTCTGTTCCTGCTGTTCTCATGTCTCTATTCGTTCACTACATTCCTACTCAAACATTTGTGTAACATCGACAACATCAACTCTAGCTAATCACAATTCGTCAACTAAGACCAACGAATTCAGTAATTGAGATGTCAAACATTGCAATAATTGGTATTTGAATTTATATCTGGGATTTGATGGGGTTACCTTCAGGATTAGGGGTAACACTGGCTCTGCGGTTTACATTATTGAAGGATAATGCATTATATATGTAACATCGTCATGACTCCATCAAAGTGGTCCTGGGGCCTCGCCTCATCGTACAACCACTCACATCACAACAACCACCGGATCCTCAACTATTTACGATAGCTGGACAGCACTATCCCCGAAAAAATTACTAGCCAATTCGATCTAAGGTCTTCACCGGCAGTTCCGCACCCTCAGACGATCCCTTGCACAAAACTTTAAGCTTCTTTCTCATCCACTCCCACTTGAAAGGAAATTAATGAAATAGTCAACCCTCAACCCTCAACCCTATCGTTACTCCCTTGTTCCTGTGGCAGGTCTGTTCTGCTAGCTTTTCGAGCACTGCTCTCTCTGCAGTACTCAAACGTACGAGCAACACTGAAACAAATTCGCCCCGGCGCCCCCTTCAGCCCTTATGTTGTACCACGAGATCGCAGGATATGCCTAAGGTACAATCGATCGACCTTAGCACGCAAGCGTGGGCTTTCGAGATGCTCAACGTTGAAAATCCAACATTGTGGCGGCATCTCGCGGGGGTCACAGCCGATTCTCCACTTTTCCATCCACATCGAAAATAAAAATTATTATTCCTCACAAATAAATTTAAGGGATTGCGGAACAATATGGGCATGCTTTCATTTCAATTCGTGTCTAGGAGCAATTAGGACTGTCGATGCCCCAATTTCTTCGAAATCATTGAATTATGATTGAATTGAATGTCAAATTGATATTTTCAAAAAACAATCATTTTTAAAAATTGTTTAATGAACCGAAGACAAAAATTTGGTTTGTCCCAAGAATATTCACATCTATTCGTAATATCCCAATTGAATATTGCATTCCTGTATCATATTTCATATTTCATTTCAATCCCAATATATTTCTTGGCACTAAATAAAGCCATCCTGAATATTAACTGATGGAATATCAAAGGAATAATTGAATTCACTTGAGATAAATCTGAGATTTCACTTGTGCAGATTAAATGCTCTCTCTGATGACTGAAGAAAAAAATGATGAAATTCGACTTTTTTCCATATTTATTCGATCTACGTGTTAAAATTGTGCCATTGAACATTCCCCAGGCCGAGGAATGAATATTATGAATTTGAATGATCGAATGCGTCACCCCGTCCTCATCAAATATAATTCATAAAAAATAGACGTCTCGTCTTTGACGTTTGATGAATGTTAAGGGTATGGACAATCTGTCGATAAATTTTCAGTAGAGTCATGACACTAATGCCAAGCAGAAGCCGCTGAGGATGCGTGACTCCATGGAGACTTCATGGTCAATAGATTTTTTCCTCTCGCTTTTTGTGTACACGAAAAGTTGGGAAAAATTTTTGCGGAATCATGAGAGGCTTGAATAACAAACAATCCCTGATGCATTATTCAGCGGGCAAACTTGGTCGATACATAAATATTCGATTTTTTGGGATAATACTGGTGTTGGCGGGGGTGTACCATGTTTTTGTTAATGCGGTGGGGAGAGGATTGCACAGTCTAGATTTTCTCTTGCTTTCAGAGACTTATCAAAACAATTAAAACGAATTCTCAATGTCATCTCAAATGAAACGCTATCATTTTCCTCAAAATATTTATCGGAAAATGGTTTTTCAGGAAGAATAAGAAAAATGGAATTAATTATTTTTTCTCCGCAACTCCGAAAGGAGTGTCTTCAGAAAAACTTGTCCTAAGAACGGGAGTGAATTTAATTGGAGTTTGTTCGGAGGATTTCTCGGAGGGAGAAATATCATCCAGATAAATTAAACCGGAGAACGGGAACAAATGGAGCTCGTTTACTCTCGGCTTATCGCGGAGAACAGGTGAATCAGTTAGGTGGAGTGATAATGTTATCCTCCAATGGAGGCCAAAGACGAGAGCTTTCCCGAGACTCCCTGAGTTGTGTCATAGATCGGGATGAGTAGATACGCCAGCCTCTTATCACGTGCGATGAATTCCGACCCAGCGAATTCTCATTCTTATCAACGCATTCGACCAATTCTCCAATAATTCAAAATTCAAAGGTAAAGAGGTAAACCACTTCAAACACTTTTTGATATGTAATAAAACGTATAAATTCTCTCTTCAGATGTAAGAACTTGATGAAGTGGCAATTGTCTGTGAAACATTTGACAGTGAGAATAAGCTTTTAAAGTCTTCTAACATTATTTATTCTATTACAATGAAGAGAGAATTTTCCTGGATCTAGGGGCTTTTTATCTCCATCATATAGAACCGGAGAAATAATCGCAGGAATATGGACATATACTTGAGAAGGATTCTCGATAGCACTGAAGATCCAGGACTAAAGCCACGTACAATAAATTGTTAGCAGGGAGTATATTGAATTTCGCAAAAAAAAGCGAATCGGGTTTCAGGGCAAATGATATGCGGCCGCAGGGTCGATTGAGTTTAAAGGGGGTGGAGATCTCAAGCGCTTGTGAAAACAACGCCCGAGGGCTTTTGAAACCGATGATGCGCAGCCCTGTAAAAGAAAATTCGAGGAAGATGGAAGAAAGGAGTGAATGTCAATACGGAATATCGCGATTAGGGTGGGTAACACTGGGGTGTGAGTATTTGGGTCTTGCGGGCTTTCTCGAGCGTAGAAACGAGGAGAATTCAAACTCACTCAGCTGAGACTAATCGAGATTATCCTATTTTAGAGGACACTATCTGGAAATTCCAGTGAAATGCAGTGAGATGAGTTCGACGACAATTGAATTGAGAAGAAAAATCGAACAGTATTATCGGTGAAGTTTCTATGTAAATAAATGTGAATTTATTTTCTACTGCAAATGTTTAAATGCTCGTTCAACGACGTATCTACAACTTAATTCTATAGGGAGGACCATGGAGAAATGAATAGAGAACTGGAATGGGAGGAAGATTTTGTTGTACTCGTTTCGTTACTTGCAAATGCAGAAGCGGCAACTAAATAGACTTATCTTCATTTGTTTTGAGTGGACAAAAGTATGCAAATAGCGGTAATTGACTTGCAAATTAATTTCAGGAGTTATCTGGAGGTTTATTTGTCCATGAAAGATTATTGTATAATTTTGGATTAAATGGGTAGAGTGGGGATGACAATCGCGATGCAGATAAAAGAAATTGAGTTTACCCGGACGAGAGATATCGGAGAGAAGATATGTGCATGGGGTGCACGATGCGCATGAATACGAATACAGTGTGACGTTTGAATAACACGGGAATTGCAAAAGATGCCGCACATATCTCTCGGTACATCTGATATCGTTATTCTCGCAATCTCGAAGGATGCGATACAAATTTATTCTTCTAGGGTTGAAGAGTTGGATATTATGTGAAGAACCGATATGAATTGATCAATTGTGAGACCTGTATGATTCAACAGTGCTCTCGCCATTGCAACACCATGTCAACTGTATTTCAATCCAATTTTCCATGTTACACATGACAATTTGGCAGTTGTTGGTGGACTGATAACTTTTGATGATATCTATCAGTGCTGATGGCTTTGAAATTCCAGAACCTGAACGCTCTTCCACCATACAATTTGCCTGAAATTAGGCATCTCAGAAGGCATCAATCTTCCACTCAGTCGTTTGATTATCCACCCTCAGAATATTATCACAAACAACTGAGATATTCACAGGTGCAGCCTCAAGGCAATTACAACAACTCTCGGACACAACCACAGTATTCGTGGTATACATACCAGAGGCTTTTGCCAGTGTATACGTTGATTCGATCAAATTAATCCCGAGATGCCGGAGCAGAAATACTGGTCGACGAGTCCTCTGAGTGAGTGCCACTCGAGTATCAACTTTTCCAGGAGTGAGAGCTTCAACGTTGAAATAACCCTCACAAATATCCTCTAATTAAACACTGTTTGTATTTGTGAGGCACATGGACACATATTTATAAAGCACGTCTCAACACCAACACGTGTATTTTCCCGAGACAAATGCGTGAACGCGATGTTGGCATTTGCCTAGAGGAAATTCTTGAGACGGAAAGGATGAGAAATAAGACGGTGAATTTACGCCCGGGTAAACCATTCATCATTGCCAAGAGTCCGTTGTATATTTGGGGAATGTCTCGCGAACGTTATAATAGACAGTGCTGCATACCCGGAATATCAATTTTCGGGAAAATATTCTTTGACCAATCAGGGTGGAGCGTTACGGTTAACTGGTGGAATAATCAACGAGGCTATCATCATCATTACCACACTGATTATTTAATCAATAATTCAGCTATGGTGAAATGCTATTTGTCGTGCCAACGACCGCGAGCTCAGGAGAGAGCTTCATCCTTTTGTTTATGCAGAACTACATTTATATTCATCTCCATTAGTACTGATCATGACGTCTGTTAGGGGAACACCGCATCTTGTACTTGATATTGCACCAATTTATTGCAATTGCAACCGATCATCAACCGATCACGTTAAATTTTGAATGATAAATTGAATTGTTTGAATTATATTAAGCAGTTCTCCAACTGTATAATATAACCGATACGCAGTCGCGTATCTTGAATAACGAAATACATAAAAATTCAGGATAAAACGGAGGATAAGTGAAGACCCTGACCATTGAGAAAATTAGATTTCTTAACTTCGAAAGTACCGACATCACCCCGTCCTTCACTTAACGATTCTCCACGAAAGCATTTTCTGTCAGTAGCTCCAAAAAATGTTGATTTCTTCCATAATAAGAGAAGTTATGATACGTGGATTATCGTCTCTCTCATTTTTACCCGAAAGCCCACTCCCCGGAATTCTCATTAACTACTGAGATATCCACTTACTTGTCATGGTCATGCCCATAAGACGGATTGATTCGCCTTGCGTAGAGTGATGCACCGCCCTCGGACATATAACCATCGCACAAATCCGATAATGCCCGGCTGCCAACATTAATTCCACCGCCCCTCAGCACTTCGCCATCGCTTAAATAACCTGATGCAATGTCAATGTCCGAGTAATCCTGGGCAACGTGATGATGCGACGACGAGTGTAGTATCGTGTACTGTCTACCAGTGGTACGTGATGGTAATGTTTGCAGACATCGTGCACTCGGTGTGTAACCACGTAAAAGTGGTTGCATTGGTTTTACGTTCATTTCTGCCTCGTCTTCAGGAACGGTACCGCCACCACAGCTCTCAGCCAAAACCTGAGGGAAATTGAGGCAAAAGAAATTGAGAGATTTCTCTGATATCGCTCAGCTTGATTGAAAAAAAAAAACTATCCAATCCCACCAACTGATTCTAACGATCCTTCAATATATTTTAATTATCTAAAATTACAGGGATTGATTTCTCAGCGAATCTCCACATTTCATTCATCGATTGAGTGAAATTGCATATTAGAAGATTCGAAAGCGAAAAAGACGAAGAGAACCGACTAGTCTCTTTTCATTATTTCGCCCCTAGCCTATTCCATTCTATCTATAATTCAAATCTAATACTGTTGTGGATTCGTTCACCATGTATTATAGTTTGTAATGCAGTAGAAAGTTACACTGACCCTGCTGCACTCACCAATCTTGCGACATGAATATTCAGGATTATCAATGCCATTCTAATAGAGACCAGAGTTGTGATTTGTTAGCGCCAAAGAGACTACTATGCATTCTAATGAAGATTAGTCATGGTAATTGATACGACATTATATGTACTATTGCAATTATACGCCAGATCAGTAATCCAATTACATGGCTTAACGGAACGACCTCAATCCATCTCATCGATTTTGCTTTAATGGTGATTTTGACAAAGCCGTATGTATTAATTACTAGTATCCTCGACGCTTTAATGAGCCCCTTATATATTCCACTGTGTACTTGAATATTCTTCATAAAATCTCAACTTGGCAAGTTTTTTTTACTGTTTTACTGCTATCAGACTTGTTCATCGTAATACCCTCTAAAAATTCCCTCAGTCCAAGTACTCTATAAATAATCCTATTAATTACACCATCATTTGGCCCATAAACAATGTACTCCCAGATCTATAATTGAATAACATCTTCATCCACAGATAAAGCCAACTATCCTCGCCACCAATATAAATTTTGTGGAATATTTTTAATTGAGAATTGGAAAACTCATTAATAAATACCTTCTCCATCTGCTCGAAGGTGGTATCGATTTTCCTATTGGGTATAGTTTTAATCTCGCTTCCGCTCTCACTGCTGGGTCTATATATAACACTGCTGTCACTCGAATTACTCTGGCCCGTGCTGTTTGAGTTACTATGTGAACTCTCAGACATGAGATCTGATATGCTTGGCATTGGTGACACCATTGCCACTGTATTTGGATCCAATTTTCTGTGTAACACATCGCCCTTCAATTTAGCGGCTGTTGGTATGCTCAGGGGATTGATTTCTTTCGGTGGTTTTGTCGTACCTTTGACAAGTGCTGTTGGCTTTGGAATGCTAGAGCCTGGGCTGACACCAGGTGCTGTTTGAGCGGTGCCATTAGGCCCTGGTAATGGACACGGTGGATTCATAGGGGACTGATGTTTATTCAGCCCAGTTGATCCATCGAGATTGCATTGACTATTGTCATTATCGTTGATATGAATATTTTCAATGGAAGACTGGTGATTCCTCGAGTTTAAGTTATTCTCGTTTGGACTCCGGTCACTCCTGATATGATTATCGTATGGCTTAGTGTCTTCTTCGAGTTCCTCCAATGTGCTCTTCATGTTATTCAGATCACTCTCCAAATCCTTGACTTTTTGAACCTCATTATTACACTTTGCTTCGTTGTGATTGGTGTTGACCTGATTCATGCTCATTGTTTTGTCTATGCTCGGTGGATTTTCCTGAGTTGGGCTCAAATTCGGTAGCTTAATCAATCCGTTGCACCCTGGAAGACCTTTGGCAGCTATCACATCTTTGTGGAGACCGTTGGGTGGTACTTTAACATTCTGAATCTTTGGATCTGGTGTCTTACCAGGTAATTCCATCTTCGGCCTTTGTATAGATTTTTGGTCATTACTTTTTGCACTAGTCACTATCTTCTGATCTTGGATTACTGGTTTCTGATGGCCAGGGGGAAGAAGAACAGAATTTTGCTTTTGAGGATTTGTCGAATGTTTTATAGCCTCGAGATTGCTTGGTTTCTTCTCTGATATTTTTGGACCAATCGCTATTTTACTGGATTTTGGCTCCTCCACTGGGAGAGTGTAGGGTGTTTTCTCGGGTCCTTTGTTCCTCGCAATCTTACTCTGAGCCTTCGTCTGATCTTTTCGGCCAGATTTAGGACTCGATTGTTTTGTCGGTTTCGTCTGAAGTTTTGATTTTAGGGCTCGTGTCTTTGGCGATTCCACGGCTTTCCCTTGATCACAGAGGGACGTCGAGCTATCAGAATGTTCAGAACGAGCTGATGAAAAACCAGAAGAACTCGATGTGCGTTTTGATACACCGGACGACGCTTTCCCTCGGTCCTGATTTTTATCTTTATTGTTGAAGAGTTTGAACTTGTCGAGGACTGAGTTCTTGTTTTGCTGCTGAGGGGGTGGTGCAGCAGTGTAAGGGGATGGCTGGGGTGCACGAAGACCACCACCTGGCCGACCAACTGTCGAAGCTCTCGGGCTGGTTGGAAAATAAATACGAGTCATTATCATCCTTCGCAAGCCATTCTTTGATACTTTGTTTTGACATAATTGGTGGAGTTAGATTATTTACCTTGGTGTTGTCGCTGGGGGCTGTCTGTTGGTATTACCCTGGGTTCGCGGTTGAGGGATGAAGGAGAGACCCTGCGGTGAATGTTGTTGACTTGGGCTCGTACTTCTAGAACTGCTTGCACTCGGGATACCACCGTTTCCGTGCTTCAGACCCCCTGAAAAAGAAAAAAAAACATTCACGTATTAAACACCGTATCGTATCTTTCCAGCGTTTTCTAAATGCAAAACTGCTGCCTAGATGAAAGCTTTTTTCAATAAATTCATTTTATCACCGGGAATTCCAATAAAAAATTGGCGTTTATGGAAAATAAATCGACTATTGAACCGCTTCATCGGCATTCTTCTGAATTCCGTTGAATCTAAATAGAGACTAAATAGAGACTTCGGTAAAATTCAGCTACTTTTTCAAGAGTGTGATCTACATCTGGCTACCCACCACAACCCGTCCATAAATAGAAATATCATGAAATCAAAAAGGTCAACAACGGTGCTTCTGACATTTGGTAAAGAGCGATAACTCACGATGACACGAGTAAAAGTTCTTCAAGCACCCCAATGGGAAAAGGAGTAATATCCCAAAGTGAGTACCCAGAGAGAAAAACGGATAATAGACACGAGAAGAAATGTTTTATCTGGATTTATAAGTGGTGTGAGTAGGATTAGTGGTGTTGAAGCCCTAGGTAGAACTGGTTACTGCCCGCGTAGGTGATGCCTGGGCGAAAGCCAACATAGCTATGCCTGAGATATCGAGGCTAAAGGTCGAACTAAAACAAAGTTTATGCGAATCTCAATAGGAGATCTCAGCCTATTGCATATGTAGAATATTTTCTTCATGTCTTGTGTACTACCTCTGTATTACCTTTGGTCAGGCTCTTTCCATATTTAATTGAAAGAATCGTGTGTTAAAATTAATTACAGACACTGTCTCTATTTATTCGCCATGTAATTATGGTGGAGGAGTGTGGGGTATACTTGTCGAGGTAGACGTTGGTCGCGACTCGATAAAACGACGATTGACTGGCTCATTAAGCAAATACAGTCGTGCGAGTGTTTTGCTGGGAGGAGGAGGAACTCGAAACATTCGACCGAGTGGAACGGCCCATACAGGCCCGTAGTCTTGAGTAAACCACACTGATTTTCTAGCGAGAGTACTTCCCCTCGCAACTACATTTGCCGCCTATTTTGTGCTCACATGCTGTGTGCTTCGCTTTAATAGTTACCGGTTTATGGAATGGAATTGTGGAGTTGAAATTATTACCAGGGTTATGCCTGGTATTTTTGCTGAGCTGAGATCGTTATTATTATCTTTCTCAGCGATATCAATCATGTTATGATGTATTGGAAGGGAGAGGGGTGGCTAAGTGAATGTTCGAGGGGGTTGGTGAGGTAAATCGGTGCCTGTTTTAGGCAGGCGCTCTTGGAAAAATTGTGAAAAATCATCGACAGTCGACGAGTCATTGTTAGGAGAGCCGTTGGACTCGATTTCACAAAAGAGTTGAGCGGGAATTTGAAGTTTCAATAAAAATTCAATCATTCTGTCCTGGATTTTTAGGCTTTTGAAAAATTAAAATTTGGGAGTCTTGGGATTTTGCACGAGGTGAATGTAGATGAAATAAAGCTTCAGTTAATGAAAAACGTCGATTCTGAGAAAAGTCATTCTACAAAAATTTTCAAGAACAGGGAGAATAAATAAATAAATTTTTCAATAGATAAATAGATTTCTATAAATGGAAATTCTAATAATTAATGTCCGAATGATATATGCACGAAATTCAATAAAAAACTTTGGTGCACGTTTCCATAATGTCGACCCCATTGGAGCACTCTATTGAAATGTCATGAAGAACTAAAGTTCTATAACTCCTGGCAACTAAAATAAAATTTGTAACAGAATTGTGAAAGTGTTCCACTTGAAATTGAACACAAGCAACGCATCCAATAAATCTTCTAAGCTTTTCACTTCTCATTGTGTGTTATAATTACTATACGCATATTTTCCTCTTGAGTTTTAAAGCATAAACCCGCGTAACGTCAGCTCGTAAACCGTCTTCACCTCCCAACGCAATTAATGAATCTTTTATTACCCCAAATTACACATGCACTCCAAGTCATAAACTGCAACTAAACCGTAAAGTCGAGGATGAATGAAGGGAAGAGGTGAGCATTTTTTCTCCCAAAAAAGATTTATTATAATGCGCCACCTCAGTCGAGATTAACGACGAGGAAATGATGGGCGGTTGCTGATTACGAGCCACACGTAATTCAAAAGTGTAACACAACAGACACCGAATTCCCACTATTTGTCATACATACGATCGAAAATGTGCAGTAATCGACAGTTTTATCTCGCTTTCCTGTTAATTCGACAATCCATTTTAAATTCCACCACCGTGGGCCCTCATTGTCCCCATTTTGGTCGCGTTAACAAATTTACTTACTGCCTCCTCTCTTCCTCTTTTTTTTCTGCCTGATTTTTCTAAAGCGAAGAGAACAATAGAGACATTCAGACCCATTGACAATAAATTAATAACTATTGCGAAATGAGAATAAACGGATAAGAGATAAACCAGAACATGAATATTCAAAGGTGTATTAATTCTCGAAGAATAATGAAATTAAAATAAAAATTTCAATTTCCAATTTGAAAGTTCTTTGTAATGTATACCCAGCGTTTCAATCGAAATAAAAAAAAATGTTGTAGGAAAACAATCTCAAACACCAAGAGATTTACTCTCGTGTCTCGGTTGAATTTATTCACCGAATCTGATATTTCCACACCGGCGTATCGCGCACGTCACGTTTTCATGGAGTCGGCGTTGTTATGCATTTTTTAAAGGAGAATCTTGAGAAAAGTGGAAACGAGGTGTTGAACGCTGAGGTGGAATTTTTTAATAACACCGAAATGATTGATTGCAACAATTTTTCTGACGTTGCCACAACAGATTACGAAATTAAGGAAGAACAAAGGAGTAATGAGTCCATGGGTTGACGTAATTAGTTTAGAATTGAGAATTGTCCCAAAGGATTTTCCTGGTCAAGATTGGACAATAGCATGTGAAAATTCTACGGTTCCTAGCTGGTGTATACATTGATATCCCTGACAAATCCCCTAACGAGACCCTTCACCCCTAAAAAAAATCCTCAGCGACCCAAACAAAATGGAAAATACCCCGAAATGGAGACATTCGATACGTGACCCAACACTCTCGACCATGGAATTCTGATCATGGGGATGATTCATTGACAATTCCCACCACGACGCGATCGATCTCGGTGTGTGAAATTAATGATACCTCCCAACCCTCTTAACAAAACCACCTGCTGGACCAATTCATATCCCATCCCCCCGACATTTTCCATTCTTCCAGTATCACTCACACCAGACACGACAGGCGAACACTTTCATCTCGAAACCATAAATCGAATCGAAAATGCAGGAAGAAAAATGGAATATGAAAAGTGGAATTCACTTGTGAAGAGTATGGAAAAAAATACTTGTCCCTGTGTGGGTGAGTGACAGAGTTGAATATGTAAAAGAAAAAAAAAACAAAAGTAGAATACGAAATCATACCTCGATTTGCCTGGCAAATGGTTTCCGACAAATTGAGATAAAATCCCCGAGAATAGCGAGAAGGCGATATAACCAGAAGGCATTGACATGCCTCAGCAAACTGGCTGTGCAGAGTGATTCGTTCGGTAGCTGAAGTACTAAAATCCTTTCCCACTCTTTTCATTCACTGCCCTCTACTCGCTTTTACCCTCTCTCAAGCATCCTCAAACGCACATGTAGGTGCGTTAGGACTAGACATTACAGAATGCTTTACGAATTTACGATGGAGCAGAACAGTTGAGTCTTATCAGCCGTCTACTTCTGCATTAAACTCGAGTGAAATTCGTGTGTGTGGGTATTACTATAAAAAGCGCAGGGGATTGACAGGCCAAGGCGATTAACTCCAGTGGCTGTCAAGTAACTTCATCATCGAGTTGCTTGACATTTAGCATACAGCAACACTGCCACGTTAATTTCGTTTGTTTAATTAATTTGTCTGTTTGTTGGCGAATTCCACTTGATGCTGAATCGACAGTCTTTCAGATGTATTCATAATATATCCACATTGGCTTAGTCAAATTCAACCGATGTTGCGCCATTCTTCAAGGTCTTGTGCCGCCAAATAAGAAAAAAAAAATCAGCCAAGTGGTACCATTTGGTCAGCGGATACAGATGATTTAATGAACTCCATTTTACCACAGCCTTCTCTGAATTCCTTTCAAGTCAACGCCACTATTTTAATCATTTTGTAATTCACTTCAATATGGATCATAAGATGGCCGTATAGATATTGGGTTTGAAGTAATATCATTTAATCGAATCCTTAAACTTTCTCTGATGATCAGAATTGTTTCGAGAAACACAAAATTCCTTCATCCAGAAATTCCTAATTCTTCAAAATAATTTTTCTTTTTTTTCTTCTTTTTGTGCTTATCTGTGGTAATCCTATGCTGAAGCCACAGCATTGCCTGAGAATTGGTTGATGGAAGACAATTTAAAAAAATATGGGTATTTCTCGACAGCGAGTGAGTATTTGGTAAGAATGTTGTTTTTCTCTCAGTGCATACGTTCCATGAATTTCTCAACGAGAACTCCCCGACATTTCTCTAATAACCCGATAATCACCAGACCAGACCGTAATTAATGTGGAGTAGCTATCACGTGGTGCATTAATTCATAATCTGTTTTGATGAGGAATAATAGTTGAGAGACACTGGAGATTCATCGAGAATAGGAGGGAATGTACCGTACATTCAGCGGGAGGGAATCATCCGGAGTGATTCTCCAGTGGATATGCACTGGAGGAATACCATAATTTTTTCCTTTTTTTCTCTCCTCAATTTTATTTTATTCCTCTTATTTCCATAACGGATCACTGGGTAAGTCGGTTATTCTCGGACAGAGGCGCATCGCGAGTAACTCCGTACGATTGTTCCCATTTCTTCATACATGGATTGAAAGATGACGTTTACGCCAATTGAGGAGTGGACAATTGGTCCATTAGACTGGAAACTGGGAAATTAAACTGTGAGAGGGAGTTTTGAATTGATCGTTTCAGTTTTCACAAGTGGAAGCTATGGTACACGACGAACAACATTAACAAAA